TGCAGAGCTAGAGAGAGAGAGCGCGAATAAGCTCGCAGCTGGTACGATCGCGCTAGCTGTCTCTAGCTAGCTCACGGCCGGCCGTGCGTGGAGGCGGAGCGGCATTCATGGCTTGAAGTGTCACTGTTGCATGCGCGCTGAGCTAGCTGAGCTGGCTAGCTGTCTGTGAAGTTTTTCGAAATCGGAACGATCGCTTTTTTGCTTCTGGATTTTGACGACGGGTAAGAAGTGACGGGTGAATGGTAGAGTTCTTGGACACTAGGAAATTACTGTAAAAGTATCACTTGCCCGAATCGGGCAAGTGATAATTTGATTTACTTGCCCGACGGCTCAATTTGGTTGCCCCGGGACGTCGGGCAAGCGGGTTTGTCGCGCCCTGATGTGCACAGATTAGTGATTACTACTGTGTACCTTCCTCTCACCCTACTTGCCATGTATTTATAGGTGAAATGGTGTCTTCTATATCGCAGTGTATGTGTTTTCCTTTTTTGGGGGGGGGGTGGGGGGATGGGTGACTTACTTGTAATGTGTGGACACAGCTTAATTTTAGTTCAAATTGTGTGCGTAAACCAACATCATCATCCAAGTTTTCCAACAACATGCATTAACATGTTTAATATCGATATGTTTCTTTTTTTAGTACAGCACTTTTCCTATTATGAGTATATGTATGCTTAATACCAACCTGTGTTTCGAAAATGCAGGAAGAAAAGAAAAGAAAAAATGATCCATAGTCATGAATTTGTTCTTAACCCCACAGAACAATAGTTTTGTTATGTAATATTTTGTCATGTGTTTTATTATGGATTAATTGCAAAATTATATTACGTTTCTACTTTTATGTTTTTGTTGTTCTTACTTTTTTCCATCATATCCAGGCCATTCCTCCCAGGGGTCACATGCCCAACAAACTCCGTGATAAGAACTCTGCCATCAATGTCGCCCTCGCGTCGTCTCTACCCGAACTCGGCAAGGCGGAGCTTGTAGACTCGACGAGCGGTCTTGTCCAATCGGACGGGCTCATTTACCCCACAGATATGTTTGACTATCTTCACTTCACCAACGAGGGCTACAAGAAGCTATGTGAACCGCTTCAAGTCAGACTCGACGAAATCCTCTCAAAAGTTTGAGGCGGATCCGACCGAACGTCGTTGTGTTGAACTGTTGCGTGTAAGAAAAACCCCGTCAGCAAAGCGGTATAACTTGCCATACATGTACATGGAACCAGAGAAATAGCCCGCTGTTTTTTTGTAGTCATACTTGTGCACTAAACGTATCCTGCAAAGTCCTCTATTGGTATTAAGAATCCCTTTACGTGTGCTGCTACATGCAATATTTAAAAGCAAAATACGAACTGCAGGTGTACCCGGTGGCGTAGCTCCGTAGGGCATAGGGGGTACTCCCACCCCTCCCCCCCCCCTGAAATGTCGAAAAAGGGAGTAAAGAAAAAAATGGAAAATAAGAGAGAAGGGGGGGGGGGAGGTATGGGAAGGAACATGAAATGATGACAAGGAGATCATTTGATCATTTGACCCCTTTCCACCACATACTCCTTGTAATCAACGCCCCCAATGATGCCGACGCCCCCGCACTTTCTGGGTTCTTGTTACGCCACTGTGTATACCCCTGCCTATCGGTCTTTAAATCACAGGTACAGTGTACATTGTTTGATCAATAGCAAATCTCTTGGATTCTTGTACAACTTTCCCCTGCAACAAGTGTATGGCACACACATGGAAATGCTTCTTGTGGGAAATTGTTACTTACAGCGAGACAACTTGTAAGATTTCCCAGTCCAAACTATCATTCCTGCTGCATAGCATACTCTACGTCTATTATGGTACCATGAAAAGAAAAGAATGTGCGTATTTCATGTAGATTATCTAAGCTGAAATTCATGTTCAGAAAGATTGTTTATTTTATGAAACATTCCTTGTAGAAATGCTTGAATTTATGTAATTTTTCAAGCTGTCCCCATTCCATAAGCTACAATGTATGTACATTATTCCATACAACTCAGTGTAAAAGCCAGTATATGAGAGCAGCTATCAAGTCATGTTTGATTTGCTAAAATCAAAGCATGGCCAAAATGTTATGTGATATATAAATACTTATTCTAAAAGTGTTCGTCCACCATTTCAAAATATGTAGAAACAATATTCCCAATAGTTGGCATTGTATTTTCCCTCTAAAATAAATTCATGCAGATTTTAACATTCTGGCATGGCCCATGTACAGGTCTGCTTGAATACACAAAACCTTGAGTAGAATTTGCAAAAATTTCATTCCTTTGTATATGAGGGCAGCTTTCAAATCGTGTTTGATTGGCTAAAATTAAAGCATGGCCAAAATGTAATGTGATATATAACTACTTATTCTAAAAGTGTTCGTCCACCATTCAAAATATGTAGAAACAATATTCCCAATAGTTGCATTGTATTTTCCCTCTAAAAAAAATTCATGCAGATTTTAACATTCTGGCATGGCCCATGTACAGGTCTGCTTGAATACACAAAACCTTGAGTAGAATTTGCAGAAAAAATATGTAAGTGTAGTTTTAGGAACGAAAAAATGTAGATGGTTAACTGCAATGTATGATATCATAAAGTCAGCATAAAATGCAAAGTACTGTGACTAGATTGTGTGTTCATCCTATTTTTTTTCAAAGGAATGAAATTGTTATTCATATAATGGTATGTAAATGTACATATTCAAATGGCCATGCACAAACTTGGATATGGTAATAGTCAAGAAAAATGACTAATATGGTAGATGGTAATATGATCAATTATCATTTTAGTGAAATGTAGTACTTGGATATTGCTAGTTGTAGGGGAATAGTCAAGAAAAATGAATAATGGTAATATCATTTTAGTGAAATATAGTCAAGGGAAAATAAAATGAATGTCATACCGGTAATCAAGGCATTCTACATATCTTGATCTGTTACAGTTTACTGGCTGAATACAAGGGCACGGTTTCACGAAACCATAATAGCTACAAGTCCACTGACATCCCATTGAAACGATGCCCTGATAAAAGTATGTCGGTATTATATGGATACTAGATAAGTTGCTAGTCCTTGAATTGCTTTTATGACCAATATTTTGAGGACATAATATGTGGACCTGATTGGCTCGCTTATATGGCTGATGAGCCGTGCTTAATTAATGCAAAGTCATTGTGAATGTGCGTACTCCACATAAGATGATGTTTTATTTGAGTCGACAAATTTAGATTTTCAAAGCTTTAGATTTGAAGTTTTCAGAGAGTTGTTACTTCTCTGACAGGCGCCAAAAAAGCATATAATCAATATCATTGTAACCTATGGCTTATAAGCTTTCCGTTGATATATAATTCATCTATTTCATTTTTCACTTCCAACAGGGTTTTTAACAACTTTAAATATCCATACTTATTATTATCATCCCAACATCATTGATAATATCATTAATGTCATTTAACATCGCAGGCTCCTCCTGTTGAGTTGCTATTTTAATGAGCTTAGACTAGAACATCAATTGATATAAACGTATTTCGGCTGAATCTGTACACATATGCCTGAAATTTATGACAATTCCCATGTCTTGATATTACTCCCTAACTCATTCCATTTTCCTGAGTCAGAGTTAGATAATGTAAGGCCAATGTGCTGTAGACACATTTAAAGCATTTTTCATTTAATTTTTTTTTAAATTTATTATTCTTTATTGAAAGATATTTAATTGTTTATTGTTTGTACATGTACATTGTAAGTCATAGACATCACTTTTAAGTAAATAGAATATATTTTTCAGAAGTTTATTGTATTTCTTTTTCCTATAAAAAGATATTTGTTTGTTTTTATCATTTTTTAATGTGTTAATGGAAGCTCCTTGTGCGAGTTATATTTATTTGTTTAATTACCTAAAGTGCACTTCATTTGAGTAGTGTGATTTCAAATGTCATACAGCAAGGGTTTTCTTCTTCTTTTTACAAAATTATATATATTTTTCATTTGTTCAATAGGTTGCGAGCAACAGAAAACTTCAAACTTGCCAGACACATTTTTGTTGTAGTTCATTTATTCTTTTGCCCTGAAAATGAGATAATGAGAATATTGTTAATACATTCTATCCTATAAGGGTTATAGAAATACCATGTTTACAGAGTATTTGCTGGTTTAGTCGTTTACAGAGATGCCAACTGTTCCGTTTTTGCCGTATTTGTTCCGTTTTTTCGCTGTGAATACGGCAGTACGTTTTTTCAATGTTTTGTTACGTTTTTTAATTTTTTTTAATTTTTATTTTTTATTTATTTATTTATTTATTTTTTTTTTTTTAAATAATTTTTAGTGACGTTTTTCTTAATTTCTGATCATGGGCTTTGTGTTGTAAGTGTATTATGCACCTACATCTTCAAACGATGCACGGAGGATGGTGATACGGGCCCCAAACTGCGCACATTGCGAACAACCCATGTGTAATGTATGCACGTCGCGCTCCGATCCGGGTACGTATACGTGGTACTGCCGGGTTTTTTAAGCTGCCCGATTGGGCGATATGTTTAGTTGAGAGATTTTTTCAAAAATACTGTTTTTTCTCCAAAAATACTGTTTTTTGCTCTTAAGAATACTTTTTTTTGTTGAAGAAGGTTGGCATCTCTGCGTTTATGCCATAAAAGGAAAATACTCTGTCTGGTTGATGCTAATAAACTGTATGTCCCTATTTAAGTGTAATTATATATTTTAAAACTAGCCAGTTGTAAACAGAATCATTTTGAAGACTGGGAGTAGGTTATTTGAGTTTCAAACTGTTACAGTGGAAACCTGGTATAATGAGGATGTTGGGACCCTGAAAATGACCTTGTTATATCAGGGTAAAAAAGGGGGAAAAGGGAATGTAAAGAGACGAGATTGGCAAAATTATCTTCTTGTAACAGGTACACTCTAACAGGTCTCTCCATCTCGATATATGTCGGGTCTCTTTATAACAAGTTTCCACTGCAAATAATTCCAAATTTTGCCAGGCTTTTTATTTCACATCAGGGAAAAAGTGCCATATTTTTGTACGCTTTTAATACAGTTAGCTAAATTTATGCTCCTGTGGAAATGTATTCAGTTTTCGACATGTACCATCACATGAAATCCAGGGAAACTGGTCAAGTTTAGCTTGTATTATATTACAGTCATGTACATTTATTTCATACACATATCAATGCTATATTTTTCTTTGCTCATACATATTCCTGTCCCGTAAATCATGTGTAAAATGCTTTTAAATCCTTCTTTATCTAATTTACAGACACCAGTGATTATATTGGTACGTGTTTCCTTTCAATTCTAGTTTGTTAAAATGCAAGCACCATCCTAATATAGGCTTGTATGTAGCTGCTTATAATGGGAAATAGTGACATTTTAATTACATGTTTTGAACAGGGAAAACTGTACTTATGATGTCTTTTGTTGGAAATATTTTTCCAGATAATTTTTTTTTAAAGAGAACAGTACTATTTCTTTGCCCCCTCCCTCAAGATATTTGTTCACCTCTTCTTGTTTTTTTTAATGCAATATATGTTATGTTCACAAAATGAATTGATCCAACAATTCATTCTTGCGCTTTGAACTAGAGTTCATTTTGCACAAAAATGTACCAAATTTGTTCATTACAATACAAAGTGGTAATACTCTTTGGTGACATTATTTTTCGTCTTCTTATGCTATGCTTGATTTGCATAAATATAGCAGTCGCTTCTCCAGAAAACTTCATTCCATAATTGTTTGATTTCTGTATTTGCTGCCAATTTTATGACTCAAATTTAATATAAGAGGGACCCGGTAGGATGACAAAAGCCTTTGTGATAGTAATTTCCATATGCCCACACAGTGACCATATGGTAGCAATACTCCCCAGGGAGTGGAGATGGGGCACACTGCGTGAATGAATCCAATGACTGGGTAGTAATAACAATATCTGTAAAGCGCTTAGAGAGGGTATTTACTATCAAGCACTGTATAAATCCAGATTTATTATGAATATTATATTTTATTTAAAGTTATTGACATTCCTCACTAGAGGAATGACAAATCCACTAAGTTAGCTCAAGAGCAGAATTAATCTTCTGCAGGAAAGTTAATTGTATTTTAATTGCTTTTAGTTCCATATTTATCTTGCCAACTTGAATTCTTTTGTTACTGATACCCTTTAAACACTTTTCAGATTGATAAGTTAATGTATTCAGACCAATTATTAATATCAGAACCTTCAACATTATATTTAGATGGAAATGGTCAGGAATTTTACCTTGATTTAACGAATGTATTTGAGTAGTAAGTTATTTGGAATAAGTTGTTGAAATATGGTGAAATGTTACTTGAAATATCAGCTCTTCAAAATATTTAAACCTAGGTGGATATCTTGTATTTTTCTTCAACTGAATCATTTATTTTCTGTTGTTATGACAACAGAAAATTAGAATGATGTTGTTATTCTACAAGTACAAGTTTCCCTTTAGGATTTGCTTTTCATGAACCTTATTCACTTTTTTATATTCCACATAATCAAAAGATCTTTATCTGTAGTACATGTAATTGAAAAGAAAATATTAATTTGTTGTAGTTGAAAAAATAATATGATGTAGGCTGTTTTTAGAGATGCGCGATTGTTGCAGATCGCTCAAAACTCCTCCAATCAATCGCAAGCTCACAAATCCTTTCTCCTTTATACTGCAAAGTTGTGATTGAAATCAAATTGTGATTAATATCAAATTGTGATTAATTTTGAATCGGTTGCAAGTTTCCACAACTGTTCATAGGACAGGTCCTTAGAATCACTAATGTTTCGATTCTGATAAATCAATTGCCAATATATTTTCAGTTTTAGATCATTTGCCCATGTAGACAGGTGTCATAAAATGACCCATATTTACATTTAAGTATGCAGGCCTCATAGCTGGTTTAGAGATATAGTTATGTCACAGGAAGTTGCTTCTGATTGGTCAGGTTTACATAGAGCTTCAACAAGATCCTTCCCATAAAGATATACATGGGAGGAAATTTGGAGCTGATTTTGTGTATGCATGTCATAACTATCTCACTCAATATGCTATGGAGGTCTGTATCGCAGGCATTTGTCAAGCAAGTTTTCCTGACAATTTTTCAAAAATATTCAGGAAACTGCACCAAGAATCATGAAGTGTATAATGACAGCAATTACAAATCATGTTTATAGGTTTAACTGTGGAAGTTGATATTGCAACGAAACCATTTTAGATATTGCACAAAGAAATAGAGTGCTCATAGAATGTAGTTGAAACTTACATGTAATTTTGTGAAGTAAATTCCAACTGTGAATGTACATATTAGTGCTGAAGTAGAAACAATAAATATATTGTGATCTTAATGTATAAAGAGAAACGTTTGTTAACCTTTCTTTGGTTTGTTTTCTGATCATACTTTAATAGATAAGAGATAAGGTGTAAAGTAACAAGGCTGCCCACTAGGATGGGTGTACCGTCATTATTTTAATTTCATGTCCCCCCCCCCCTTTCTCTCCAGCTCCCCTTCCCTTCTCTCCCTGTCTGTCTCTATTTCTCTCTCCCTCCCTCTCTTTCCTTCCCTCTCTCCCAGATATCTCTCTATTTACTTTTTTGTTTGTTTTTCTGCCATTCGATGTGGGGGGCTGGAGGAGGGCATACCCATCTATAGCTATGTCGATGATAACCTGATTCACTATGAATATACTTGGTTACACGCATAACTAAACGGGCCAATTATCAAACGAAATAACAATAATTTGTCCATTGCTAATAGACTTTAAATCATTCCAAAATATATAAGTAAAGAATATAATTTCCATGAAACCCAACATGAAACATCAATATTGATCTTTGCACATTAACACCATGACAGATTTCCTCATAAGAAATGAATCTACTTTTATTACTGTTCATTTTTAATAAACATTGAATACGTAAATTCAAATTTAACAATAGCAGAATGAATGTACATGAATCAAGGTGGCTGTACACACATCACATTTTTTGAATAAAAACAAATATAGATGAACCTGTATAAACAGGTAAGCAAAGACATATTTGAGATAAAATGTGAGTGGCAAGAAGTCAGGATTTGGCAAATTTCAGTGCATGTTATGATTGATACGCCAATGTGTACATATTTACAAGTAAATACAAGCAAATAAAAATGATCTGTCAGATTTCATCAACTTACAGGCTTATATTCTAGTCACACTTAAAAGGGAAATCCAACTTTGACAGTAAACTACTCTGGAAGAAAGAAGAGTAAAATAGAAAAGCAGACTGGTGAAATTTGAAATGAAACTGGACAACAAATTAGAAATAAGGGACAACTTTCCCTTTGTTCCAACACACAAAGTGCCTAAAATCTCAATTTGTCAACATGTATGATTCAGGAGCATACATGCCAACATTTGAAAATCAGAAATCTGTACAAATTATGCTATTTTCAAAAAAAAGAGGAACAATCCTAACTCTCCTATTCAATACTACAGACAAATTTGTACAGGAAGAGGAACACCTGCATTAAAATGATAATTATCTTCTCCCAAAAAGAGGAATGTTCCTCTTTAATCTGAACAGTTGGCATGTATGCAGGAGGGTATTTTCTCTTTAGAGGACCTATAATGATATGAATGTGCTATATATCCATAATATAATTTGAGCAGTGCGCCTAGGGAGAAGGCACTTAGGTGAAAAACAGAAATTAATATTTTTGTACACGTCAAATTACATTGAGAGTTATCTGCGACTCCACATTCCACTTACCAAATTGTCATTTTGAGATTCACATACCGGTAGACTTAGTAATCTCATATTTCAAACATTTGCTATTGTGTTTTTCTAATGTTCAAGTTCTGTCTACCCGCGGCCATACAAATGAACTAATTCATTTTATTTATTTATTTTTATTTGTTTTATTTTTTTATTACAATGTTTGTTTGGGTTGCCCTTTGAGGAGTCCAAAGCCATACTGAACAAAAAAATTACATTATCACAAAATTCTGTCTGTTATTGGTCAGGTAAGAGGAAGTTTGGCAAAAAACGCTTATCAGAAAATTCTGAATACAAAGACATACCGGTATGCAAAAAATTTAAAAATGCAGAAATTGCTGAACAAGATTTTCATATGCAAATCTTTTTATGTGGGGATGTTGTGATGTAACTCTTTTCATCTTGAATCATACACAGGAACATTTATTGTGAACTTTAATGAAAGTAATATTGTCATAACCAATTGAATAATGAAGCAATCAATAAAAAAACAAAAGATTGGACTCTCGGAAGTTTGTAAGTTGATAAACACGGTGGTAAAGAATGGAATAAAATTTAATAGTGTGTTCTCATGATCCTAATTTGCTTCTGAAGGTTCTTCTGATATGACGCTTGGTTCCTCTGTGGCATTGGGAGGTTCCTGTGCCGGTTCAGCTGGTTCCTGTGCCATTTCAGCCGGTTCCGGTGCCATTTCAGCTGGTTCCTGTGTGCTGTCTGCAGCCTCTTCTGTGGTTTCAGGTGGTACGTCCTCAATTCCTTGTGGTGTTGATTCACTTTCTTCAGGTGCTGTCTCAGTTTCTAATGGTGCTTCTTCAGTGTCCTGCGGTGCAGCTTCAGCTTCTAATGGTGCTTCTTCAGTGTCCTGGGGTGCAGCTTCAGCTTCTAATGGTGCTTCTTCAGTGTCCTGCGGTGCTGCTTCAGCTTCTAATGGTGCTTCTTCAGTGTCCTGCGGTGCAGCTTCAGCTTCTAATGGTGCTTCTTCAGTGTCCTGCAGTGCAGCTTCAGCTTCTAATGGTGCTTCTTCAGTGTCCTGCAGTGCAGCTTCAGCTTCTAATAGTGCTTCTTCAGTGTCCTGTGGTGCAGCTTCAGCTTCTAACGGTGCTTCTTCAGTGTCCTGTGGAGCAGCTTCAGCTTCTAACGGTGCTTCTTCAGTTTCCTGTGGTGTAGTCTCTGTTTCTTCAGGATTTGCCTCAGTATCTGCAGTATATCGAATACACATAACCCACAATTTATATAAAACTTGTCCACATGATTATAAAGATGAAGTTAATGAGTCTATGTAGTGTAATTTCTTCACATTTTGATTATCACTTTTCAATACTGGGGAAAATTTTCATCCAATTTCAAATAGACTAGTTAACTGTCTCAAATCCTATTATTTTGTTCAAACATGACGATAAAACCCCAAGAATTGTTTGTTGTTGTTTGTTTTTTGTGCAGATGAAGGGCAAAGCCGCAAAGAGGGTGAGAAAAATAATTAATGCGCCAAACAAGGATTAATATGCATTCGCTTTTCTTGTCCCTCAATATCAATTAACCCATTCCATACCATAGGTCTTTCTGGCATAACATGTCTCTACACGTCTTTATCATTTAAATTATAATTGTAGTATCCAAAGGATTAATATATAAACCTAAAACCCCTGAGCATTTCTCCTTACCTGCATCCTGATTGGCTGATTCCTCAACTTTCTCAATGACATCATTTACCGGAGTCGATGCTGTTTCTGACAAAACAAATAATGGTGAAAATGGAATTAAAATTTGATAGAGAGTAGGTTTAAATAGCCCCTCCTGTGCCACAAAATGTTGAAAAATAGCAGAAATTAACTGTGAAGGATCTAATTTGCATCTTGATCTTTGTTTCCTGAAATCAATCACATCAAACATGTTCATATTTAAGCAAGATGACGATGCTGAGTCCATTAAGCTGCATGAGTTTAGATGCATGTATGCTTTGGTAAGCCACAGTGGGTATTTATCTAATAACATTTCTATATCTGATAACACAGAGCTCAGTAAATATGTGAGGTTAGAAAAAAATAGCATTGAAAAAAAAGAATACTAGAGTTTCCAATTTGATAGAGGCAAATTGTCAAGTTACTTCTTGAAAGAAATTTTGATTGGATTTCACTGCAATGGAAAATATCAAAATTTGATTCCTTGGTAAAGAACTGAACTGGAATAGGCTGAGAGCCCTCACTTTGACCAAGTTTACATCTAACTAAGATAGCACTCATGCTAATCCATTCAAGACTGGGATTTTCAAAGGGCTGATTCAATAGATTTATCACCTAAATTGGCACAACTGATCATTTTCTTTCTCTGTTACACTTTTTTTTTCTGTTACACCTTTCTAATAAATTTGATTGTGTTGTATCTGAAAGAAAATAAATATCCAGAAACTTTGCGTTATTTGTGGTTCTTTTTCTTTGTCAGTACCTTGTGTCAAACAGCATATTGGAAAGCATTTAGAAAAGGACACTGGTTGATAGATAGTTCTGCTTTCTCTCTCTATTTCTCTAATCTTGCATATATCGAGGGCTCAGTGACACAAAGACGTAACTCCATATTTTGCCAAAATGAGTATTTAATATCAAAATGTTCAGAAAAATTTGGATTTTCCAGGAAACACAAAGACTTAACTGCACCCAACATCCCAGTAAAATCAATGGCTAGTGAAACATAGACTGAACTCCTAAAGGGCTAAGTGCTCAGTGACACATAAACCACTTTTTCTAAAAATGGCCAAAATGGAGTTTTTGTGTCACTGACCCTACGATATAGAATACAGTTTTAAAAAGACTTCCAATGACTTTCAATGAAGAAAAATGATGATAATTTGATTGGTCCCTTTTAAATGAGCTTCAATTCCTCAGAATTCAAAAACACTGGTGGTGTACCTGTTGCTTGTTTCTTGGTAGCAGGGCCGGTATCGCCCCCCGCCTTGTCCCCGGTCTCGCCCCCCTCCTCCTCCTCCTGGGGTACAGGTCTCTTGACCTGCTTCTCTGATAAGGCCGCCCTGTCCTTTCTGAGCTGGCTGTACTGGGACTGGACTCGCTCTATAAGCTCCCCCTGTTGGACCGGGTCATAGCCGGTACCTGCATGCACGCATGGTTAGGAAGTGAATGGATGGATGGGTAATGCATGATAATGTATCAGTTTCTGAATAAGTAATGTGTGAAATGATTAGAATGAATGTGTTATAAACAGAGACAGAGAGAAAGGGAAAGAGAGAGAGAAATTAGGGAAAGAGAGAGAGAAAGGGAAAGAGAGAAAGGGAGAGAGAGAGGGAGGAGAGGAAAGAGAGAGAGAGAGAGAAGGGGGGAGGGAGATGAACGTACATGAATGTATCTTGGACACATGAAATCGGCAAAGAAAGAAGCATGAATATTTAATGGATTGAAAGAAAGGGCAAATGGACACATACATGTACCTGCGCATGTGAAAAACATGAAAATAAATTCCTAAGAAACAATAGCATAAATTGAGAAATAAATATTTTTGAGTACCAAGAAATGAATGCATATTGGTTAAAATACATGATATGTAATGCAGTATTAGAAACATGACATGAGGGAGAAAGAAAGAAAAAGAAAAAGGTAGTTCCCAAATTGTACACTGGCTAATCACTAGAAAGTAAATACAAATGTGAAGGAACATGGATGTTTCTATACGACAGCAATTTTGTTTCCTACAGAAAGTGTAAAAATCTTCAGCCCTTAATTTCAATTTCATTTTCTTTCTTCTTCATTCTTCAACTTTACAAAGTGCAAACTTCAGTTTGATACTATTTCAAACTTGTGAGGGATCAATAATTAGTGACCAAATGTTACATACTGTACTGTACATTGCTTATTACACCTGATATACAAGTACATTGGTTGTATGTCCTCTGGTATTGCTCCACCCCCCCCCCCCTCCCACCCGCTGTACACCCATGCAAAATGTACACACATTCTAGATAAAGATGTACTCACTGGCTGTTTTTTTAAAGCATATCCTCTAGGAAGACAGCATTGAACCTGATGTTTTCCTTTTGTCTACCCCCACCCCCTCCCCCTACACACACACACACCGCCTCTGGATAACAAGCCCATGTGTACATGTATGTGTTCACATCTTAAACAGATTTGTTTAAAAATAATAAAATGTTACTCACTGTCTCTAATGGTGAGCACATCCTGTAGGAAGTCAGCAATGAACTTGATGTTATCCTGGGGTTGCTCCCGTAGGACCTCGTGCGAGATGAGACGGATAATGTTCTGGAAACCAGGAGGGACGGCGAGTCTCACCGCCCCGTACCTCATCGACTGGTCTGAAAGGAATTCAGTTAGATCTGAAAGATGAAGGGGAAAATACAGAGTCAATGCTTGGCATAGGTGTAGAGATTGAATTTCTTTTAAAAACATAACTGGCATACTGATTAAATTAGATAAAGGCAAGCATTTTGCAGAGACTGATTTTTTAAAAAACCAGGAGGGACGGAAGTCTCACTGCCCCATACCTCATGGACTGATCCGAAAGGAATTCAGTTAGATCTGAAAGATGAGGGGGGGGGGAATACAGAGTCAAAGCTTCGCGTAGGGATTGAATTTGTATTTTAAAAATACTGGTATACTGATTTAATTAGATAAAGAGGATCACCAAGACTTTGCAAAGACTGATGTTCTGAAAACCTGTAGGGATCATGCCGAGTCTTACCGTCCCATACCTAATGGACTGGTCTGAAAGGCTGTTGGTTAGATCTGACAGCTACTGTAAATCTGACATATTAAAATATGATACTTTGTGTAGGTCTCAATATTTAATTATAAATTTAAAGACCAGAGATATTAAGCAAAGAGTGATGTTCTGACTTCTGAAAGCCAATGCATGCTGCTAATAATTCCCTTTGCATTTAATGAAAAAGCAAGAGGTCATCACATATGTACCCATGGACTTCTAAATTAATGCATTCCCATATTCTTCAATACTAGGAGCCACCAAATTGCTATAGGCAATAGGTACATGTAAATAATAATATGCGATTCTTGCATAGCCTATAATCACATTATCATTATCTACATTGTACATGTATGCAGGGCTTCCAATATGCTCATATAACACAGAGTTAATGACCTTCTGGTTGTTAAAGGTAAAGACCAGTATGACCCAATTTCAAAAAAATGAAATGGAAGCTCTAATTACCAATCATGTGAAAGAATATGTTTGACTAATACATGATGATAACAATTTTGCCGAGAAACCGCCTACTAATTAAATTAGTTTATCTATTGGGATGTGAGAGAGATAAACGCACGTGTCGCTCACGTCTTTCTGTGTACAGTGCTAATTGTAACTTTACAAAGACAGGGCCAAATTCTTTCACATTTTGATGATTCCAGAACCTTGCAGTATACACCAATACTTATATGCTAGATGATCAACCTTTTCTGATCGATTCTACAACGTTTCTTTCACAATGCAATCGCATGACCATAACTGGTCTTCATCTTTAACAGAATGTACACATGATGTATCCATAGAAATTAAACCCATGCCTAAACATCCAGTAAATGACTTCTGTATGAATTATTTAGTACCTAGCACACGCTCCTAGCCGCACCAAACTGCCATAATTGCACGCCTCGGGGATGGAGGCACAATTAGTCTGGGTTTGGATGCATCTAAAGCTTAAATAAGTTTACAAGCAGTATCAGTGTAAGTGACGTGGAGACTGCACAATACATATTGTTGCAGAATGGATAATTATGAAAGGATGACGCTTATTAGAGAGAAGCTGGATATCTCGTTTAAGATGAAAAGAGATTTATCCTTCTTTGTATGTCAGTCTGCAGTCGAAATGTCCCCTAAAAAGGACTGCTCTCAGATTAAAAATAAAAGCTGATTTTTTTTTTCCTGATTGCTTCCATGAATGCAGTGGCTTCCATACATGAACATGTAGTATGTACACAATGTTAATCACAAGACCACTCTTCAACTTTATATTTAAATATTACAAGCCGACAAATCCATTCTAATACCCCATCAAAACACACCCTTAAAAAAATCATTGATTTTTGGACTACCATTAAAATTTACACTAGATCTAGGCCCTACTGGGAAAACCCATGAAAAACCATCAAAGTTTGCTCATACCGGTTTTGAGATGAGTATAGTATGCATGCCCGACTCGTTGGTTCCCTGCATTCCCTGCATGCGTTAGCGGGGAGAGTTTCATGAGCAAAAACGGTATAGATGTCTATCACCGAAGGTTGCTTTTTTAAAGTTTTACGCTGCAAAAAATTGGTGAAACTTTGTCAGGCATTTAAAAAAAACATGCACACTCCAGACTACCAGTACCAGGGGTAGATCTAGATCTAGACCCTAGATTTAGGTTTTTTATTTGGATTTTCATCGTGTTTGCCAGGGGTTGCTATGCAACTTGACTACCGACAAAACACAAGAATGTGAGAAAAATCAGAAAATTTGTTGCAGTGTAATTAAATGCAGCTTGTTACTGTAAGTGTATTGCCTAGACCTAAGCAGTAGCTATGGGGCCGAGGGGGGTATTCCCAATGTGACTGGCTACGCACCCGCGTCCAGAAAAAGCGGCGAAAGGGTGTCTTTTTCAGCTATACGGCGGCGTCGACGTTTTCCTTAAAAAGGGGTGTTTTTCAAGCACTGATTGCACAAAAACCAAAAAAAGGGTATCTTTTCAGGAGCACAGGTTTCAACGTTTTCTTTTTAGGGTCATTTCAGAAAAAGTGTAATACGCCATTAGGGTCCATTACAGATGTTGATGGACACGGGTGGGTAGCATTTGTGTATGAGAGTGACCCCCCTGGGCTGGGGGAGTTTGACAAAAACTAATAATAACAGTATTTATAACGCGTAACATATCCATCGCTAGAGATGCTCAAGGCGCATACAAATAATTTAAATTAATATTCAACATACATGTACTTAAGATTAAAGAAATATTAAATGTTAACTTGCATTAGATCATACAAGTTCATGGTGCCAAGGTACATACAATGTGGCACAGTGTTATTGTTTGTTTTGCATGCATTGTATAAAAAGAACATTGAAATTTAACAATATGCATTGAGCATCAGATGAGTTTTAAGCCCAGTTTTGAAAGTAGAGAGAGTGTTGGCCGTCTGAATAGAGAAAGGTAACTTATTCCACAAAGGAGCTGCTGATGCAAATGCTCTATCCCCCAATTTCTTTTGGTACGTATTTCTTTAAGTCTAATATTTTGTGATGACCGTAAACCAGAACGACCTGCGGAGTGTGGTGATAGAAGGGATGAAATATATTCTGGAGCTACATGTAGATCATTTAGTGCACGATAGGTTAAGAGTAGAATTTTATAGATCACACGCTGTTGAACAGGGAGCCAGTGCAGATATTTCAAGATAGGAGTGATATGATCTTCTGGTGTTAGTTACAAGGCGAGCAGCAGCATTCTGAACTTTTTGCAATCTGTTAATTTGGTTGGCGGGTAGCCGAAAGAGTAATGAATTGCAATTATCAAGGTGCGAAGTAACAAAAGCATGTACTAACTGTTGGGTGGATTGAGGTGAGAGATATTGCCTAATTGCACGGATATTATGAAGATTACAATTGGCCAGTTTAACACAATTTGAAACATGGGTTTCAAGTGACATGGAAATATCAAATATTACACCAAGATTCCTAGCTTGATGTACAGGAGATACAGGGGCAGAACCAACTTGAACATGAGAAACCTTAATTTTACTGAGTTGTCTACTGTTGCCAAGCAAAATGAATTCTGTTTTTGCATCATTTAGTTTTAAGCGACTCTCAATCATCCATTTCCTTACATCAGCTATACAGTTTTCAATTTTCTTCACATTTTCATCTATTTCTTTCTGGACAGGTTTGCAAATAAAATAAAGCTGTACATGTACCTTGATTTACCTTGATTTACCTTGATGTTGGGCTTCAAGTATAATTACTTATATGCCCCTCTGCAGCAGGATTAATGTCTGTATGTACTGGGGATTGCGCCTACGTCGGAGCTCCGGACAATGCAATAGCAAGGAAACATTTCTTTAGGGTTGTACAGGGTGTACATGTCATATTTAGCTCTCCATGCTTTTTCCAGGTTGGATTTGAATGAGTTTACAGATGGGCTATCAATTACATAAGCTGGAAGCGCATTCCATAAATTGACGACTCGCTGTGAAAACGATCCCATTCGGATAGAAGTGAAGGCTCTAACTTTTGATAGTTTGAAGCTGTGGCCACGTGTTCTGTCATTCAAAGGTCTCAGAAAGAATTGGTTGGGGTCACTGCGGTCAATCCCATGGAAAAGTCTATATGTTTGTATCATATCCGCTCTGTGACGACGGTATGCAAGTGTGGGCAATTTCAAATGTCTAAGCCGGTCAGAATATTCCAAGTCACGAATAGATAGAAGAATTTTTGTCATCCTGCGTTGCACTCTCTCCAGCTTTAGATGGTCTCTCTTGAGAACAGGGTGCCACACACTGGAGCAGTATTCTAAGGATGGCCTTATTAAAGACTTGTAGAGGTGTACAAGGCCCGATTCATCCAAGAATGAAAAGGTGCGGCGAATCAGGCCAAGCTTCCTGTTCGCAGAGGATGCAACTCTGTTTACATGCGCTGAAAACTTTAAGTTGTTGTCGAAGGATACTCCCAGATCAGTCTCTAGAACCACAGATGTCAAAATTGATGAGTTGAGGTTATAGTTGACATTAGGGTTAGACTTCCCAAGATGCATCACCTTTGTCTTTGACTCATTTACGGGGAGTTGCCACTTGTCCGTCCACTTTGCAAGGAGATCCAGATCATGTTGTAATGCAGCACTATCTTCTAGTGAGTTCACAGGAGAGTACAGCTTAGTGTCGTAAAATGTGTAAGTCATCTGCATACATGTACATATGATAATTAATGCTGTGTTTTTTAACAATATGCTGTATGGGCAGAGTATAAACATTGAACAATTGCGGACCGAGAACAGATCCTTGGGGGACTGAAAAATCTAAACTAACTGAAGCAGAGGTAGCATCACGGATACAAGCTTCTTGTGATCTACTAGAAAGATATGACATAAACCACTTCAATACAATACCCTTGAGACCTATTTCCTTTAATCTATTTAGCAAAATGCAATGATCAACGGTATCAAAAACACTGCTGAGATCAAGCAGTACTAAACCAGAGACATTTCCATTATCATACCAATTAATACATCATTGTTTAACAATGCACTTTCCACGCTATGCATCTCCCTGTATGCTGACTGAAAAGGATTTTGCAAACTCTTATTCTTTAAGTGAGACTGTAGTCTACCGGAAACAACTCTTTCTATTACCTTGCCTAAGTATTTAATTAAGCAATTGGTCTGTAGTTTTTCAAATCCCGTCTGTCAAAAGAGGGTTTCTTCAGAAGGGGTTTGATGAGGGCATGTTGTAAACAGTCAGGAAAGAATCCACACTTTAGAGATTTATTATCTATCTGAGTGATATAACTTATAAGGAACAAAGTCATTGACAAATTCTTTAGACAAGTTGGTATCGGATCTAAATCACATGAAGACACAGGGGAATTCATGATGATTTTTCTAATTTCAGTAGGCCTACATGTGGCGAGAGTGAATTCTAACACGCCAGTAGTAGATGGGACAGTATACAGTATACGATAGTGTAGGGAAAATTCCAACAGGCTAAACCCAGAAGCAGTGACCGGGATTTACAGGTCAACGCCTTCTTCCTGTACCATATGATGATAATGATGATGATGATAATGAAGGATTGAAGGTCGAGGTTGACAAATCATCAAATGTCTGAAATTTATGAAGAGTGTGTTGTAAGCACGCGCACCCGTACCAGGTCGCGCCGGTCGCGCCGTTCGCAGGCCGTTAATGGATATGGCGTTCAACAAATGTTCGTCACTTCGTGCAATAATAACTTCTGAATGTATAAAATGTTAGAATAGACCTAAATACATATCTTAAAACGAGCAACGTCAATGCAAACAGACTGAAAAGAAATTCTTACCGTTCATTGCATTGATGTGATTCCTATGTAGGAATGAATGAGGGATCAACACTGATGTTCAGCCGACCTTTTCACAAAATAACTTTCGATCTTCTGAAGATTTCATTCAAAACACGTTAATCAATTTAGAGCTACAGGGGGCGCTATAGTAAAAAGCCAACTTCGGAGGATGATAACCACTACTAATAATAATTTCAGTGAACTAGAATCTAACACGAAGGTAGAGAGATTCGGTCAGTATTATGCACTGGCCTCCTAAATAAATTAAGGATGGCTAGAGACTCAACTAAAACTGTGACAACTTAGCTCCCGCCCCCTAAAACTTAATTGAGTTTGGTATTTTTGTTTAATCCTTGAAGATATCTCGGAGGGGGGGGGGGGGGGGGGGGGGGGGGGGGGGGGGGGGGTTAGTGAGCACAATTTTTTTTTTTTTTTTGGGGGGGGGGGCCTCAAAAATCTGAAAAATCGCACCCCCCTTCCTTGAGCTCCAGAAGGGGGGGGGGCATCTTAAAAAAAAATGGTAAAATTAACGTGTTTTTACAGGGTTTTTTTCCAAGGGGGGGGGGCAGCCCCACCCCTGGGTCCGCCACTGCTCCCTTTTATTGGTAAAATATGGCTATCCATCTCTACATCCCACCTCTCATATTTCCTCTAAACATCTAAAAATCCCCAACTCCCAGCCTCATCTGGCTTGATTCCTCCCTGATCCTCACTTTCTTCCCTCCTCTTTCGTCAATTCCCATGCACCCTCATGTCCCCCTCCCTCCATCTCTTCTCCCATTTCTCCCTCTATCCTCCACTCCGTTGTACCTTAATGTCCCCTCCCTCCATCTCTTCTCCCTCACTCTCTCCCTTCCTCTATCCTCCACTCCCCCCCCCCTCTCATGTCCCCCTCCCTTCATCTCCTCTCCCTCACGCTCTTTCCTCTTTTCCCTCCCTCTGTCCTCCGCTCCTATGCACCCTCACACGCCTCCCTCCCTCTTTCTCTTCTCCCTTTTCTCCCTCATGCTCTACCCTCCACTCCCATGCACCCTCATAATAGTCTCCCTTCCTCCCTCACGCTCTTTTCTCTCTTCCCTCCCTCTGTCCTCCACTCCTATGCACCCTCACATGTCTCCCTCCCTCCTTCTCTTCTCCCTTTCTCCCTCAAACTCTTTCCTATCTTCCTCGATCCTCCACCCTCATATATCCCTTCCTCCCTTGAACCACCTCCTTCCATCTCTTCTCCCTTCCTCTCTCACGCTCTTTCCTCCCTTCCCTCCCCCCCCCCCTTTCTGGATTCAAACCTTACAAAAAAAATCATGAATTCAGACTCGGAATGAGAATAACAAGAAATACTTTAATAATCTTGGCACATACTCTGTACACATAAACATGATAAGCACAAACATGATTGTTATATGAACATATTTAAGATGTAATGAAAATTCAATTTCAGTTCATTCGGTATTCATTACATACCATAAAAACAATATAAGATCATCTGATTCAGACTACAGTGATCAGATTTTTCTTCTTGAAATTGGAAACGTAAATAAAAAAATCATGTATCTTCAAAGAATACCGGTATTGATTATACACTGATAGAAAGTATGTTGTACAGTAATCATGCACTGTTATGCCAGTTTGTATTAAAAAATTGTGATTTTGACATTTTCAACATGTCACAGAATTCAGGATTTCAATGCATATTTCCCTCCAATACAAGTAGCTCTTGGCATCACGGCTAACATCAAATCACAAGACCACTGTGTTCATACATGCAGGCAATCAGCATAAGGCCCATACAACTTGGTAGTTATCTACTCAGAGGCCTGATAGTTAAAAGGAATAAGAAAAAAACAACATCAGGAAGATAGACAAGTTTTGTCTCTGTTTATAGTATATACAAAGCATTAAGGCACACAAAACTTGGTACACATCTACTGATAGTTAAAATCGAAGAAGACAAAGAAAAAACAAAAACATTATCAGTTACTGGAATAATCCTTGAATTGTAGATATACACACATGAACAGTTGGATTCAATATACATTATCATAATTTCACTCATTCCTGCCAACTTTTCAATTCAGGAAGATAGAAAAACATGGTCTCTGTTTAATATAGTATATACATCACTAATGGGAATGAGTGCATTTGAGAAAATCTGAGTAAAATGAGTTTCTTACAGGTGCATGTTAACTTTCGGGTCCAACTGTGTATACTCAACTCGTGTGAACCTGAACAGAATGCATACAATTAAGTACAACATGGCAATGAAAATACTTAATAAAATCAAAATTCAAAACAATCTCATAGTTAATATTGCATTCTGGGGACCCTTCTATAAAAAGTGAAATTAAAATTAAATCTTCAACCAATCAGGATTGCATATTCAGTAATTGCGTTTACTTCTTGAGTTGTGTTTGACATTGCAACTTTTAAAGCAAAAGGGCCCTCGTAATGGAATCCCACTTCCAGACAAACTGGCTCAGATTAACCCTGGGCCCTGTTTCATAAAACTCAATATCAAGTGTCACATTTCTATGACAAATTTGCTCTCAGCCAATCAAATGCAACGATTTCAGTAGCTTATAATATTCATAACAAGTTTCATGAAACAGGGCCCACATTTGTGTTCATTTTTTAAAACTTACTATTACTTACTTTTACTATTTCTGAATTGCTAACGATTGGGCGTTAAATCTTGAAATATTAAGTAACGCAACTAGTTGACCAGATGCTTGTCACCACTGGCGTACTGGTGGGGGGGGGCTTGGGGGCGCCTTGGGGGGCCCCCCAGCCCCCCCCCCCCAAATAAAATTGAACTATGACTTATTTTCAATTCCGTGATTTATAAATGTTCGTGATATCACATTATTTTCAACAAATTGCGCGTTTCTCCATTTCTGTTGCAAACTGACACATTCCCAAATAGCCAGGAAGAGCATATATTTTTTTTTATAGTCACTAAGGGGCCGTGGCCACTAACAGTAACACTAAACAAAAAATATCCTTTCCAGAAGCAACTGTGACAAGCACTGCCGGGCGTTCCATACTTACATCATATAACACTGCACATGTAGGCCTACCGTTAAGGGGCCCAGTAGGGAAATTGAATTCAGACAAGATTAAGAGTAGAGAACGGTAGAACGAATCGTCTTCTTTCTCTTATAATTTAATGAAACGGCAAAGCTTCCGCGCTTCGGGAGGGGGGGGGGGGGGTGGGCAACTGAAGTCAGACTTTAGGATTAAGAGTCGAGAACGGTACAACGAATCGTCTTCTTTCTCTAATAATTAAATGAAGTGTCAAAGCTTCCGGGCTTCGCGCGAGATGGGCAAAAATGAATTCAGACAAGGATTAAGAGTAATAATTTATTGAAACGTCGAAGCATCCACGCTTCGCGCGAGATGGGCGAAAAAGAATTTAGACAAGGATTAAGAGAAATAATTTAATGAATCATAAAAGCTTCCGCGCTACGCGCGGAATGGGCGAAAATTCAGACAAAGATTAAGAGTGATAATTTATTGAAACGTCAAATTTTCCGCGCTTTGCGCAGGAGGGATGGGGGAGGGGGGGGGGGGGAGGGGGGAACTGGATCCAGACAAGGATCTAGAGTTGGGACCGGTACAATGAATCTTCTTCTTTCTCTAATAATTAAATGTAACGTCATAGCTTCCGCGCTTTGCGTGGGAGGGGGCGAAACAAGAATTGAGAGTCGAGAACGGTACAACGGATCGTCTTCTTTCTCTAATAATTTAATGAAGTGTCAAAGCGGGGGGGGGGGGGGGGAACTGAATTCAGATAAGAACACGATACAACGAATAGTCTTCTTTCTCTAATAATTTAATAAAACGTGAAAGCTTCCGCGCTTCGCGCGGGATGGGCGAAAATAAATTCAGACAATGATTAAGTGCAATCATTTATTGAAACGTCAAAAAGCTTTGCGCTTCGCGCGAGATGGGCAAAAATGAATTCACACAAAGATTAAGATTAATAACACGAATCGTCAAAGCTTCCGCGCTTCGCGCGGAATGGGCGAAAATGAATTCAGACAAGGATTAATGTAATTTATTAAAACGTCAAATCTTCCACGCTTCGCGCGGGAGGGAGGGGGGAACTGGATCCAGAAGAGGATTATATAATTAAATGTAACGTCATAGCTTCCGCGCTTTGCGTGGGAGGGGGCGAAACAAGAATTGAGAGTCGGGACCGGTACAACGGATCGTCTTCTTTCTCTAATAGTTTAAGTTTTCGCGCTTCGCGCGGGAGGGGGGAACTGAAAAATAACTTAGTTTTTGGCCTCGGGTTTATGGGGTTAAATTTGTAGACATTTAGACATTGGCATTAATATATTTGTCGGTAATCGGCGGCCTCTACAACCTCCCCACTCCCCCACTGAAAAAGATCTAGCGACGCCCCTGATAACGACAGAGTTTATACACTCGAGATAATTTTTGCAAGTACTACTGATGAAATACCGGACCACCGTCTTTGTGCATTGTGCGGCATTAAAGCATAAAATACAACGTCTCACGACTTGACAGATCACTTTTCTCTAACTTCTAACCAATCAGAAGGCCTCGTTTTTTTCCAGGAAGTGCCGGTGGACGTTAATGCGCCAAATGTGGTTCTCAAATTGCAAAAAAAGATCCCTACTCTTGGAAAGGGTAGGAGAAAGCAAATTTACGTCATATTACTCCAGTATAGGTGCCTGAAAATGCGTCTAATTTTGTTATAAAATTGCAAATGCTTCTTACTCTGGGAGGGGGATAGAACCCCCTCCCAGACCCAACCCCGCTTGGTCGCTCCGCTCCCTCGCCGCTAAAGCCTCGTTCTGTCACTTCATCGTTTTACATACATTTGACCCCATGCCATTTTGTGCCCCCCCCCCCCCGGTAAAAAATTCCTGGATCCGCTACTGATGCCCATACCCTTGAGCTTCGGGGGCTCCGCCCCTAGACCCCACTTTGCGAAACGTTCAGCGGGGCCTGCATGTTAGAGTGCATGGGGTGATGCGGATTTGTCAGCCCCCCCCCCAACGTTTTTGCTAATTACGCCACTGCTGATACGTGTAACGTCCATTCAAGGCAGTGCATTAAAAGGACGTCGACCGTAGCACATATCAATT